TCAACGAACCACCGCTATTAAAAATGACTCAAGTACAATTTTATCGCACGCTCGGTGGAAAGCTGAAACTGCGTCTTAAAGACCATTAAAGGTGCACCAAGTTTGGGCTCCGCTCTCTAAAACGGAGCTCAGCGCTGACAAAGGCGGTCGGTTTTGTATGTTTTTTGCGTTTCTTTCAAAGGACTCATTTGACTTAAAGACGCGGTCTGTCTGTTCGCTGCAGTAATTTATACGTTCGGGACTGCGACTTCCCGCCGTCTTTAGCCGAGACTCGGACGATTCCTATTTTTTATTTCATTAATTATTCGCCGGTAATCGCCGAGTCAGTTAATCCCTCTTTGTGCTGTGAAACACGCTTAAAATGTTCGGTACATTCTGACATGCATTTAGTCTCTAATGATAACCGCAAGTCTGCTATGTACTTATAGTGTATTTTTTCTAATTTGTCATGTTTCGTAAACGAACACAATTTAAATGAAGTCGTGAGTTTCTTACAAGGTTTACATTGATTTACACTAAAAACACTGAGACACTGACGCTGAGATTATATATTAAACAAATGTAACTTCCCTAAATTCACGTAGTAAAAATCACCATTTCATGCTTAATTGATAAAAATCCTGAAAATGAATTTAATAAATAAATGGCGAGATTAACATTTCTTTCGTTTGACATTTACTAAGGGATGAAATGTAAGTAACATCAACGATAATAAAAGGTAGAAGTCCCATTCATGCTCGATCGCTTAAAAGCGTTACAAACATCGAGTTGTTATAACAGTGATTTTGAATATTGAGGTCGTTTGGTCCATATATAATTAACATTTCTTTACTTCTGTGTCATCTGTAGCTACAATTCATTTGATAAAAGACCATCACTGGGTCCCTATGGTTTAAATCGGCCATATTGGTCGGAATAATTACGACTTAACTGTAGATTGTACTTGTCAACATTGACTGCCTGCCGTTTAACACACAAAACCAAGGAAGGGACAGTCCACAGGAAAAGGAGCATCGGGAGATGGTACAAATGGGGCAACTGCTGGTCGAGGATGCAACCGACAAGAATATGGGACAAGCTGAAGGCAGAGAACCTAAAATTCAATTATGTAGATATAGTAAAAGGCTTATAATTATTTCGATAGATCTCGAGGCTTTGCAGTTATCTCTTGAGACCTTATATCCATTAAACCGTGAAAATAGTGTCTGTACTAGTAATAAGCATTAATTAGCATCACGTCAAAATTTGGGAACAATGAGCCGCCATTTTTACGTTATTGACCAAATTATATATGGCACTGCGAAGCGTCTAAGCTATAAACACAGGGCAATCACTTAAAGATTGACAGATGTTCGGTGTGGCCACAATATTGTAATTACCCACCGCTGCGCTGTGTGCATGAAATGAGCACAGAGCAAACAAAGTCAGAGGTACCATCTAAAGGTTTTTTATTGCTAAATATTCATCAATACGATAACCAGAATATTTTCAAAAAGAGTATATATATATAAATACAAGGAATATAATTAAATAAAAATTTACAAATATTTCATTTCTAAAATATAAGATTCAATGCACATATATATATATTTATATATATATAAATGCGTAGGGCGCCATTAGGTTAATATAATTAAATAAATAAATTGTACAAAACTATTTCATTTCAATAAAATACTTAACGGCTTACAATGCGACATATATTACCTTAATTTTAATTTAATCCAACTACGGCTTGACATTTCGAATGCTTTGCAGCAGCCGAGGTTACGGAGGAACGTAACATGAAGGGGTATCCCTAATTTGAAAGTCAACTCCCACTATAACTAATTATATCCGTTTTAAACCGTTAAAAAAGTTATATTCAAATAGAACTACAGACAATGTTTAACCCTATTTCATCCAACTCGTTGTACAAATTAGGTAAACCCCGATAACACAAAATCACATCGCTTTTCTTGTAACACAGACCTATCTACATAGTTTATACTATTCTATATAGTAAAGTAAGTTTGTTTACAATTGTACACATATGTCCTTTTATACGGTTTTTATAAAACTGTTGTTAAATTTAATTTACTTAATATTTCTGAAAATTTTGTTAAGTAACTTTGATATGTAATCGCGGTAAATTAATTTGACGAGAGGCGAGTCCTAAGATTAATATATTTATTACTTTATTTATTAAACGAATATGATTAATAAATTTATTATGCGATTAAGAATTATATTTAGTTATGGCCGGGGAGGTAGATTAGGTCCCTCACCTGAAGAGGTCGGTGACATGTGTTAGATTTAATAATGACAGTAATATGATAAAGAAATTCTACTATTGAAATAAGCTAATCTGTCTTACACTCAGCATAGTAAACTGTGTCTTCCTGTGATTTCTGTGTGAACAAGAGCTACACCCAAACAATTACCATTTGTGAATTGCACTCGAGTGGAACAAGTTGAAGATTTCGGGCAACTTTTATGTCTAAACGATACGATGTACATATTAACAGCATAACATAGATAATCCAAATCATACAAACATATGTACAGAAAAATATAACCTGCCCTCTTGACGAGCGGGTTCGTCTAAACTCTAATGGTAACAATGTATAGATGCTAACGGGTTATCTGTTCGGTTCCCATTGAGTTATGAATGTAAAAAAAATATTACTTTCTAAATCACTTTAAACATGAAAACATTAATATTTTTCACATGTAATAGATTGCACATGAAGGCACTATATAATTTAAAAATCGAAAATAACTTTAAACTTGGTCTCAAAGATGCAAATGCTAAATGGTTTAGTAAGAATGGCGAATTTTGATTGTGACGTTACAAACACTAGGCTGAAGTTATAGACAACCTAAAGCTAACAATTCATATATATAGTGCTAACTAATCTTTAGCTCAAAAACTGGTTTATTGAGTTGACAAAGCGGCCTTAGTCGCCTCTAGCGGAGACAAACGATGTCATACGTCCTCCGACGCTTGTAAATGTTACGAACTTCAGTTTTACTATTTGCGACAATTTATCGACAAGGAATTGCAAGTCCGTTCTAACAGAACTACTTGTACTTGCGAGCCATGGTCGGATTGAGGGAAGCCCAGACCACACGATGGACGTTTATTTTTTTTTTAATTCGAACGAAATTACGCTAAAAATGAATTTTTAACTTTTCTGGAAAAGAATATCTGGAAGATCGAAACTCTCCTGTGTCTTTCTAAGTTTAATCTTATTTGACTATTGTTGAAAAACAAAGTTGTCTTAAATTATGTTTTACCACTTTCCCCAATTGACACAACAACTTCTTCCCCATCAGTATCCCGGAACTGTTTAAGAGATTCATGTATTGTTTGGTAGAAAGAAATTTTTATATCACTACTATTTTGTCTGTAATTAATTGTATCTTATTCCCACTTTTTGAATATGTGGTAACTCGACTAGGCTTATTAATTATCTTTGAAAAGTTTTTAAGCGTGTAACGGATTATTTGAATTATTTTGTACATATATAATTAAATTTAGTATAAAACATTATTTTTGTGATATTCGATTCAAATTATCACCCACAATCCTATTTGTAAGAACAAATCACATGTCAGTATAGCCGTAACAGATTATTTAATAATAATGATAAATAATTAATCTCTTTATTTATTTATTAGAATTATTTTGTATATATATAATGAAACTTAGTATAAATCATTATTTTTGTATGTTTAAATGTAGGTAGTTTATAAAATATTTAAAATAATGTTCGTAATATTCGATGACGTCCGTCTAACACTTGGTCGGTTGTTTGTTCATTGTTATAAAAGGGGGTGCGCTGTAGAGCGCAGAATATGTGTCAATTAAGTATCATAACCTTGTATAATATATAGATAAATATCTATAAAATGAAAATATAATTGGGGTACCATTACTTGTTAAATTCCTAGACATTTGTATACAATAAATGTGTTACTGTTATTATGGGGAAAGCGATGCTGAAATATATCTTGTTTAACGAAATAGAATAGCTTTCGACACTATATATATATAAAGTCCAATATCTATAATGAATATATCTATTCTATAGGTCTATATAAATAAAAATCTAACACGTGCAATGTTATTTTGCAATCTCTGCATTGTAATAACAAGTGCTTCTGTATTGCTTCCAAAATAAATAAACGGCGAAATGCTTCATTCATATCAACGAAAGAGGATGTTCCCTTTATATATGTAATACACTTGTGATCCATATCCTTTTGGAATCTAGAACCTTCGAATTCACCCAAGTACGACACGAAAGATACACCTACAACGTACAATAATGCCTCGTACATAATTAATATGACATGTTTCGCTTCCTGTTTCGGAAATGACGCAAAACGATCCGCGTAGCTCTTCAGTACTGCGGAAGACGTTAGGGATGTGTATCTTCGCCTCTCTCGGGAATCGCTTTTTATCAGGCTCCAGTAGCAATACGAATTAAATATAATGGTGAGTAGCTTTATCTTGACGGACACATTGACGGACAGGCAATAGCCTCGTTTATGTTGAAGGCCAATAAGATACGATCAAAATTGAGTATCGGGTCTTCATTGAAAACAACCATTATGAGGAAATAGTGACGGTGCGACACTAGAGATAAGATTACAATTCTTCCCCGCGTCGTTGATAAAACGTCGGCTTTCGTAAAATTTAAAAATAAAATGAAGTGGAATCGACGGGCAAAGTGATTTAAAAACGGGCTTACAAGCTGAGCGGCCATTTTTCAGACTTTGGATAGCAAATACAGATAAACTAGCCCGGCCGGGCCCATATTTCCTTGGAGCGCACTATTTTTCTATTTTATTTTAGACTATAACATACAGTCGCGATATCGGCACGGCTTTGTTTCGCGAAACAGATAAACAATGCTTCGGCCGCGCCGCTATAATCATATCCGTCGCAGACTGCGTCGGAAACTCAATTGTTCGGCGCGGGACCTCCTCATCGAAATAATTCCACCTGACAGATGTCATCGGGCGCGCGGGAGCTGAAAGAGCGCGCCGTTCGGTCCTTGAATTGGAAATCCAGGTGTTTTATCGCCGACACGCTTCCCTCCGCGGGAGCGGTCCCGTTCGTTCGACAATTTTGCGAGCACGTGAGATCGAGCCAATGTTCGTACGTGACTCGCTTTCGACGGGCGACCGGCGCACGAGGACCTCCCTCGCCCCCCGGCGGGCGAACGTATCGCGCCCTCGGCGCCGTTTAATAGCCGTTTCGACGGCTCTTTTAAAATGGCCGGCGGTTACAAAAGTTAGAAGCGCTATGACGTTTGTTAAATGTTAAGAGGAAATTATCGAAAAGATTCGAGTCGACGGTCCTCGTGCGATTAGAGGTTTAATTAGTTCGCCCGGTGGCTTAGATGTTTGGCTGCGTAGCCAGTTAGGCGGGATAAGGTTATTCCGTTCTCTTACACGCATATGATCGAGTCCCATTAAGTGAGACAAGAAGCGAACGTTCCCGGAGCTCTGTCTCGAGTTTCCATTAATAAATAATTATCGAAAGTTCGCTACGCAAATAAGCAAAAGGCGAAATAGGGATCAAAGAGTATTAGAAAATATTATTTGAAACACATTAAATAAGTTTGTTTGGAAACAGCGTGGAAAGAAAACGAGACGCTATTCGAAGGTAATAAAGCGCATTATTGTTTGATGATATGTATTTAATGATCAATGACTGGGGATGTATCACAAAAATATCCGTTACATAAGCAAACATGAATGTGCCCTAACGAGCTACTGTGGAGAGATAGTCGTGTGGAAATGACGTTCACACGACGCGACGCGACGTTTTATTTTGACGAAGATGCGTTCACTGCATGTTCCACGTTACGAATAAACAAGAATAAAATAAATGTCTACACTTAAAACATGAGGAGGATTTATATAGTAAGAGCTATTTTTACTCTATTGTCAATGCAACGAATTTCGTATTACTCGCAGCGTAGCTGTTTTTTACTAGCTTCAAAAGCTGTAATTTCTAAGTGATAGGTTTAGTGTAGTACCGTGCTACTGCTACTCCGAAACGATTTATTTGTTTTATTTTTAAGCATTAAATATACACCCGGCTCTCTCCATCACTTATTTTTAAATAGTTATTTAAGTAATTTAATAATTTCTATTCATAATATACGTTCCTCTCCATACAACTGCTGGTGTCAGAAATTATAGTAAATTTATGTTTGGTGTTTTGTTTCTTTTATATGCCTTCATCTTTCACATTGCTTCATGACTCTTTCCAGACTCATATACCAGATCCTAACACACTGAAAATTCCCAAGAAATAATTTGCACGGTAAACATTTTAAATCTCACGAACTACTCGAACAATTACCAACTCTGAACCCTATAAAATTACCAAAGACATCGGGTCGTGTAAAGGCGACTCGGCTAAGGGTGGCACCAATTACAGACTGCGATAATATACGTCTAACGAACGATAGCTACCAGTGGAGGGTAAACAATTTTCTGTTTACCGTCATCCGCTCCTTCTACACGTTTTGCTTTTGTTATTGGTCATGTTTATATTAGCGAGGGCTGATCAATACGCGGTTATTACTGCTCAATTCATGTTTCACTTTGACACTGTGTAGCACGATATAAATATAGGAAAGGGGTCAAGAGATAATATTATTAGTTCTTTTTATAATAGAGGAAGAAAGGTGAAATCATCTTAACAACGTGCTCTGTCGATCTATTTTAGCTTTAGATATTCGTAAATCCACTGACTGAAACCGAAACGCAGTTCAATCGGCTATCCGGCTTTTTCACCTTCAGACGGTGCTTGGAAGGAATTTCGATATTCCTACCACCCGTTTAATATCCAGATTTCCAGAAGAAGTTCATCATCTTTCAGAAAAATGTTTGACATGGTGGGGATCGAACCACGACGTTGATTATTAGCCATTAGACCAATGAGAAAGGTGTTACGACGCGCCCTATATTGTGGTCGCGCGGGCAAATGTTTGGCGAAATGAATAACCCAGCGATATGATGCAGCGAGAGTGAAATGTTACCGCCCGCCTCGCTTCCGGGCTGCGAACGGAACACGCATTAGCCATTAGCATAGCTCTGACGATACTTCCGCCCTAGTGAGGCGCAGCTATTCAATTATTGCCGACTGTCGATGCCGTCCGGAGGTCCAGAGGAAGACCGCTACGCCAAGTAGCACATAAACTCAACTGAGAATAGCCCTGCCATTTAAGTATATACATATTTTAATAAAGCGTTTTTACGGTTTAAAACGCGATATATATTTGTTAAACATATTTAAAAAATATTTTAACATTTCGGATGCTTTGCAGCAGCCATGGTTACGGGGACACTAGTCTCCCCTAGTCTTAAATTATTTTTTTTATCGGTACTTGGAGGATAGTTAGGTTTCAAACTGTTAAACGTGTTTTTTATGTGTACTTTTCACGTAAACTACACACAACACTTATGTCGTTGGTGGGTGGTGCGATACGAAGTATCTCAGCTTAAACCCTTCACCAGTTTTGCAGACCTTAACAAATAACTGAGAGGAAAGGTACTCTTTGAGGTTGTTCTTAGTTGTGCAAATACCGAACTAGCAGTTCGTTCGATAGAGAATTTGACACCTGAATCTTGTAATTCAGTCCGTATGGTAGATGGACGTGGTAGCGATGTAAATATTAAGCGCTTTTCTTATACATATCACCCGGCGAGTAACCCAGATGCAGTCGGCACTTAGTAACGCTCAATACAATGTATTAAGGCGGTATAATCGTCTATCACACCGAGCGAAGCCCTATAACAATTTGATGACTACCCGTTTGTTCTTAAGCTATGTCCACACTGGAGTTAACTCGCAGGTTAAATGTTTCCTATTTTGAAAATTATCGGCATTATTGGCATAATTACTATTGGCGTTTCCTATATTGACAACATCTTATTTGTTACTACTTAAAGGTTTACACGCGTCACACGTTTAAAACGCGAAATATAACAGCTGTGGTCACCGAGGGACTGAAGATAGAGGATGTTCCTAATATTAAAAGCAAATCTGCTATTCTTAGCGTATTACTTAATGATAAAGTTAATAATTTTAAATGTAATAATATTTTGCGCTGTTGCCTTGCGTTAATTTATTTATAAATTTACAATTTAAGATTTATATACAATCCATAATTTTATGTAGAGTAAATCTGTGCAGCTATCAATTTAAAATGTAAATGAATATTATTGTTCAAACTTAGTACCATTGAGATATATCTATATTTGCATCAATTATTACAGCCGCTGATCTGGACGCACCTTAATGTGCACAATTGCATTAAAGGAACTTATATATCTAATGACACCCTTTCATAGCTTATTGAATGTACCCGTATCGAAGCGTACTGCGTATTTTACACAAAGTTAAGGTTATATTTGAAGGAACAATATTTTGAAAAACATAGCGTTAAATAAAACAATTTTAACGATATAAAACGCGATATGTATATATTTACAATGTATTTAAACCGTTACAAATATTTTATTTAAATACACTACTCGCATAAACTAGACTTAAAGATTGTTTTATGCAAACTGTTGTAGACCAATGTATAATAATTAATTTCATACATCATAGCAACCAGCAACTAGGTCACATTTAGCAAGATCCTGTAAAAACGAATATCTTTGTTACAATGTGACGTGTAAAGCTAAGAATTTTTTAATTGCTCATCGATAAAATGTCAATTAAGGACATCACTAGCGAGGAGGCGCCCTCCCGATTGTTTTGTCACATTTCGCGAATTTCAGTACGAAAGGGACGCCTCGAAATTGAATGCACAATTACTTCCGTTCTCCATACTTATAGTCAAATTATTAATTAACGAATTGGCAACATCTACTGGACGAAGCCCGGCGAATAGGTGAAGGCAATGTCGTTAGAAGGCTCGTATTCCGTAAAAGCGCTTAACTACGGGTCTTGTTAGGCAATAACAGCGTAGTGCAGAGTTATGTGGGAGTTGGGAACAGTTAGCGATAGTCCCCGGGGCGACATAGCGGTAGCACGTGATCTGTCTCAACTGCGGGTAGACTGATATTTTACCTCGTTTTGTCGCTTCAATCTATGGCTTGCGGTGTGCCATTGAAATATTACATGTGTATGGTACGACTGTTTTTTACTAATTAAAATTACGCCACGGGTGGGACTTGAACCGTCTTCCACAGCGTTCTGTGCTGTTGCTCTAACCAATTAAGCTACCGTGTCCTACTCGTCATCATCGAATTAAATTTGACCAATAAATAATAAAGTAATTTTCCTTAATCAAAGAAAACAATATATTAGAATAAACATTCGTTATATGATAGGTTAGTTTGTTATAAGAACTAAATTAAAATAATAAATTAATTATGAAATCCTTATTTAGTTAGTTTATTTAGTTGTATAAAATAGAGCCTTATTTCAATGGTTAAGTAATAAATACATCTTTTAAATTACTTTAGTGATATGAAACCGAAAACCTTTATATCTTTTTCATAATATCAAATTTTATATGATATTTACTAAATACTTTTCTATATAGTGTTGTAATATTATATGTTACAATTTACTAAAAGTGCTTATAGATTCTACACCCAAGCGATGTTTTTCTACAAATTCCAGGTTTTTAGAAAGAGACGTCTCGTTTGTCTCCATTATTATTGCACTGTATAAATCACAACTAGTTTCCACGAGATATATTTTTATTTAACACTTTCCACTCGTAGTAGGTTGACCATTATTTAGTTAAAAGTTTAGACTCTCATACGATGTATTGTTAAGTCTAGTAGTAAAGTAGAATAATCCGAATTAGTTCATTGTAATCGATCAGGGTTCAAAACCCACGTGAAACAAAATTAAAAAGATTTATTAAGATCTCACTGTGTTTGGTATCAAACAAAGTGTCAAATTTAAGGAAATATTTCAACCACCCTCCATTTTTCGTTGACAGGATGGTCACCCCGGTGGCAACAAATAGAGTCCGGGGTATCTTTGTAAAGCGTCACAAATCATAAGGCGGAATTCCTAAGTTACCGCGAAATGTACAATTCGCATAGAAATATGCTCCGTCCTTCCGTCCGTAGCGTCTGTGAAGCTTTTCAAATGACTTAGCCGTTTGAATAGCGTTCGCACTTTGCAAAACTACCGCCTTCTTTACTTTTCATATAACTTTTAGCTATATACTTCTGCATAGATGTAAGCCATAGGAGTTATTAA